CCGCCTGCCAGGTCAGCGAGCGCATCTCCTCTCTCCGCGGCCTGAGCCAGCGGTGGGAAGGCCTCCCACCCGAGAAGGAAGCACTGAGGGTCCGACCCGAGAAGGAAGCGCTGAGGGTTCACCGCGGGGGTGGGAGGTCCCAGGCTAACCGCAGCCACAGCGGCCACGTTATGACGCCCAGGGAAAGGCAAGCTGCTGGGATGCAGGAGTGAGCCACGCCTGGCTGTCCCTCCCCGGCTGTCCCTCCCCGGCTGTCCCTCCCCGGCTGTCCCTCCGAGCACGACGGAGGCTGGTCTGCTTCCCATCTCCACGCTCGGCTAACACACTCGACACATGACTGGCAGCGAGCTCATCCCTAAACAGGATAAAGGGGGATAAACATAGGAACAAGGAATAGAGCCCCATTTTATCAACAGGGTTTGGAGCTTGAGGCTGTTCACGTGCGTGTGTGTGTGTGTGTGTGTGTGTGTGACTCAACATCTGTCTCTCCCGTGGTTACAATAGTCAAGCGGAAGGCCTGCAGAGGGAAAGAAAGAGTGAAGGGTCTAATTCGCGGCGACTGGATAAACAAACCCTCCATCCACGCGCCAGGGCGACATTGAGCAGCACAAAGGGACAAACGACTGGGTCGCACACGACACAGAGGCTCTCAGAGTAACCACGCTGTGAGGAAGGGTTCGGAAAAAAGACGGGTACCGACTACACATCTCTCTCCCTATGAACTGCTAGAAATGCAAGCTCATCTCTGCCGACAAAAAGCAGATCCGGGGTTACCTGGGGAGGCAGGAAGGGAGAGGCAGAATCTAAAATAATCTTACAGATCTGTTTACTTAATAAGACTGCTGCCAAAATTTCACTCATTCATCCATTTCTACTATGACTATCAGAAGCATTAGGCCGAGTCAGTACAGTGTTCCTGTCCTAATTAACTTGAGAGCATCCATATCCAGGGGCCTCATATGTGATACTGGGGAAAAGGCATCTGCCCTTAAAAAAAAAAAAAAAAAAAAAAAACCCACAAAAGTCTATTTCATGTGATACTGGGGAAAAGGCATCTGCCCTTAAAAAAACACAAAAAAAACCCACAAAAGTCTATTTTGATCCTCCTGTTAATTTCAAGGGGCTTCAAGTTACGCAAAAAACGTGTGATACTGGGGAAAAGGCATCTGCCCTTAAAAAAACACAAAAAAAACCCACAAAAGTCTATTTTGATCCTCCTGTTAATTTCAAGGGGCTTCAAGTTACGCAAAAAAAAACAAACCCATTTCTCCGGGGCTGCCTCGTTATCACCAGATTTCAGTTCAATACAATATCCACTTACAAACGTGGTGATTTGATTTTGAAACTCACTGCCTCCCACCCGAAAGAGTCCGCTCTTCGCCAAAGATCCTGTCGATATAAAACGCATTAATTTTCAGTGATTCCCTGGGACTGAGAGCCCTTGCCTCTGAAATACTGACCATCAAGTACTTAGAGAGCGCACGACCCAGATGAGCCAATGGGGGCATTTAATTTCTCACTTCCTGCAGAATTCGTAAAGGTTCCAGACGCCGCTCCCAAAAGAAAATCCCAAGTGAATTTTCTGCCTCCTGATGCTGCACACGGTAAATTATCCTACAACAAATCTTTAAAAACCATCACTAGAATGCGCATTTCATGAGAACAGAGATTTTGATCGATTTTGTTTGTTAAATTCCTTAGCACCTGTTCCCGGTTAAATGCAAATATGTGCTGTGCGATACTTGCGAGCTCACACTGTTTTATCTTTCAGATCAGCACAGTTCCCCTGAATGGATGTGCAACCTCTCCTTCCCATGGCCTGACGAAACTTTCCTATTAAGCATGAGCGTAAGAAAAGGAGTTCTGTGATGGGAGTCACAGGTGCCTGCGTCGCACTGCACAGGGACATGTGGTGAGTCCATCACAGGAGACGGGCGGAGACCCAGTCACGTGGGCTGTGCCGAGGAGCAGGCTCCACACGCCGGGGAATGGTGGCTCCGTGGAAACTCTGAGCAGTTTCCACGCCCGGGTCTGGAGGAAGCCGCAGCCGGAAGGCCAGCTGCACGTCCCACGTCGTCAGATGTTTACACCAGCTCCGAGGTGACTGTCAGATCGCCCCACGCTGCTGGTGAAGTCACCATCGTTAAAAGCTCTAACAGTTGTTCAGAAACCAGTGATTTTAAGTTCCGTGTCCATCTATGGACCAGGGGGTCACAGTTTGATTCCCGGTCAGGGCACAGGCCGGGGTGGCGGGCTCGATCCTCAGTGTGGGGCGTGCAGGAGGCAGCCCATCGGTGGTTCTCTCTCATCACTGATGTTTCTCTCTCCCTTCCTCTCTCTGAAATCAATAAAAATATATTTTTTAAAAGCCCAGTGATTTCATATATTGTTTCAGACTCAAGAAACCTCTCCTTCTAAGGAAATAAACAGGTATATGTGCCAAATGTGCATGTGGGAAAATTCATTGGGAAATCATGGTAGCAAAACATTTCCCACGACTAAGGAATAATTAAACAACCATACGTCCCAATGGCGGGCCATTGCGTAGGTTTTGGAAGCAACGTAATAGAATTGGAAATGAGTCTCCAAAGGTAAAGGCAAAAGGTTACAAGAATTTTACATTCAGTGTGAGCCTAATTAACACACACACACACACACACACACAGACACAGAGACACACAGACACCCCACACATGTACACACACCACACACACACGCACAGACTCCAAACACACCACACACACAGAGAGACACACAGACACCCCACACATGTACATACACCACACACACACACACGCACACAGACTCCAAACACACCACACACACACAGAGACACACAGACGCTATACACACACCATGCATGCACTCAAACACACCACACACACACACACCACACACACACAGACACTATACATACACCATGCATACAGTCAAACACACCACACACACACGTACAACCACACCCAAACACACC